GAAGTCAGAGTACTATAGAAGCATGAATAGCAAAGTTCACAGCTGAGGATGCTGAGACAGGGAAGTGGGGGGAACAGGAGCTGTGGAGTGGGTGGGATGAGCTAGCTCAGAGGACTGGGAACTCTTGTTGCTTGTGCCTCTCTGGATCCTTCTTTAAGGGTGGAGCACAGGCTATGGCCAGGAGTCAGGGCAGCTACTCCGGAAAGGTTCTGCACCTGTGGGGTTGCCAGGGTCAGTGGACCAGCAGTCCCCATCCCCCTCTCCGTCTTCCTGCCTTTCTCTAGCAGACTGGAAACCCACGAGGGAATGGACCACTTTTGACACTCATGGAGTACAGACTTCAATGCATGCTGGGCAAAAGTGATTTGGAAATTATAGGATGACAAATGAGTTTTTATTTTATATATATCCTCCTTGTTTCAAAAGTAATTTAAAGTGGCTTTCAAAGCTACATGTAATATACTATAAGGTCAATAATAAAAACAGGATATTAGTGATGGGGAAAAAGTTTAAAAATCCATGCATGTTTTGAGTCATACACAAAGGGCAGATCACAAATTGGACTTGCACGTTTCTAGTCAATAGAGAAAGGAGACAAACAGAAGCTCTACAGTGTCTACCAGATCAAAACAAACCAGTTGCTTAGCAGTGTAGAAGACAGTTTGAAGTAGTGAACAATGTCCTTGACAGTATCTTTTCATAAATAAAGCATATGTATTAGACCTGCTCATGTCATTAAAAGCAGTCTCTCTTGGGACTGAAACAGTGTGGTCAGGTACCCAGCTCCCTGGTGATCTGCCTTCATTAAGGATAGCTTCTCTCGAGCACAGGAGTCACACACCTGGTCCCAGGGCCTGGCACATGACAAAAGTATGTGTATGGGTTGGGGGGTGGGGCTTGTCTCCCGGGAGAGTGCATGCTTGCTAGACCTAAAAGGCATTTAGGTTCATAGTTCACAGCACAAATCTGGTGCTGGCTCAGTAGAATACATTGCAGACTAACTGCCCCATTGGAATTCTGATCTATAGGAATGTGTAGTCATATCATCTAGGGAATCTTAAAAATTGATTCTCGTTTGAGCTTTTGGAAGACACTGAACAGCAGTGAGTTATGGATTGTTGTCTCTGAAATCTACCTGGTCAGCATGCTGCCAATTAAACATAAAGCTATGGGCTTTATCTATAGGACAGACTAGAGAAGAGATAAAGTCATGAGGTCATTAGGATTGCAGAGGTTAGGGGAGGTGGCCAACTCTAATGAGGTCTTTGGCTTCCAGGTACCATTTTGGAGTCTACTACAAGAGAATAAACAGGTCCAGCATTTTGGGACACCATCTTGTACCAAGTGGTAAATGGAAAGTACATATATAAGATATGATTAAGGAGCTTTGATTATGACCAGATCTTTGCCCTGGCAAAGGAGGACATTGATGAGGATAATCAGAATCAAGTCTTACAGTGTTTTAGAAGAAGACCATTTCCTGCCAAGAGCTGACATCAGGCCTTCTCTGGATTTAGAAATGGAATCTTTGTATCTGGACAGTCTGTAGTACTCACATGCACACACACATGCCTGCATACATACATACATACATGTAGTTTTTCAGGACTCTTTGTCCTGGTTGATGACATTGTGATACTTGGTTATAATATTTGGTTCACAGTACGTGCCTGCCGTGCTTGGAGATGTGAGGCTACTGCTGGGACGTCCATGATGTAGTATCCTCAAGGTCCAAACCAACAAGCCAGAGAAAAAGTGGCCTGCTAATTCATTTTCTTGCACACTGTGATCCCATTATATGCAAATTAAATTATGCAAATGTCAACTAATAAAACATAAATAATATTAATAAAAGCCTCACATTATGTACAAAACTTCAAAGGACACATTCTCCCAAATTATGCATCAAGTCAGATCTTCAAAGCTGACAGGCCAGTTGAATTGTAAAACTGTTCTGTTACCCTGCAGCATCGCCTTTTCTTATAAACAGAAATATCTTCTTCTGACCTTTGGCAGTTTGATATGAACTCTGCTTTGTTTATAGGACTTCTTTAAGGATTTTGGTGAGATTTTTGGGTTATTTTAACATCCATTATTATAATTTAAAATCTTTATTATCTTTCCGAATGTCTCCCAAGTATGCAAATAGCAGTGCTGAAAAAATGATCTGAAGATCAGTAACTTTGAAACAGAAATTAGGCACAGTAAAAAACACTATGTATGATATGCCATGCTGTTAATTTATGAGATAAACGCTGAGAAATATTAGCGATAACACTGATCAAGTTAAAGGGAATCAGAAAAACCAAAATACAGCATGATGCCTGCTGATTTATATGCTTAGAGAATGCACTCCCCACACTATCTCTCAGACTGTGGGACAAATCTGTCTTGAATTATGTAAACTCTAAGATGGGTTGATTGCCTGAAATGCAACCAGCTTGTATGAGTCCCAGTTACTTACACTTGGCTAAGGTGGCTTAGGTTGAACTATATACGTAGAACAAGGACTAGTCTGACATTGAGAAGAGAAGCTTGGTCACCTTTTCTTTAAAACTCAAAACTAAAAATTCACTGCTATTCTGACTCATGTTGTTCTTAAGTGACATTGAGTCAGTTCTGACTCACAGCGACTCTGTATAGGGTTTCCAAGGAGTTTGAACCACCAACCTTGTGTTTAGCAGTCCAGTGCTGATCCTATAGCACCACATCAGGACTCGTTGTTGTTGTTAGGTGCCATCGAGTTGGTACTGACTCATACCGACCCTATGCACAACAGCATGAAACACCGCCTGATCCTGGGCCAACCTCACAATTGTTGCCACGCTTGAGTCCATTGATGCTGCCACTTTGCCAATCCATCTCACTGGGGAGCTTCATCTTTTTCTCTGACTCTCCACCTTACCAAACATGATATCCTTCTCCAGTGGCTGGTCTGTGTTGACAATGTGTCCAAAGTATGAGAGACAAAGTTTGGCCATCCTGGCCTCCAAGGAGCACTCTGGCTGTACTTCTTCCAGTACAGATCTGTTGGTTCTTTTGACAGTCCATGACTTTCAATATTGTCCTCCAACACCATAACTCAAAAGCAACAACTCTTTTACGGTCTTCCTTATTTACTGTCCAGCTTTCACATGTATTGACCCTATATGAGATTTCCAAGACTAAATCTTTGTATCTTTTTCCCTCAGAGCAGGACTCATTTGTTGTTGTTATGTGTGGTAGAGTTGGTTCCGACCCATAGCAACCCTGTACAGGGTTTCCGAGGCTGTAAATCTTTATGGGAGCAGAAAGCCTCGTCTATCTCTCGCAGAACAGCTGGTAATTTCCAACTGCTGGCCTTGCGGTTCGCAGCCCGATTCATAACCACTACACTACCCTGAATAGGGTTTCCAAGACTGTAAATCTTTACAGGAACAGAAAGCCTCATTTTTCTCCTTTGGAGAAGCTTCTGGGTTTGAACTGCCGACCTTGTGAGTTAGCAGTCTAATGGTTATCCTACAGTGCCACCAGGGTGCCTATTTTTTAAAACTATAGGAGAGCATCTAATGAATTGTGTTATGTTATGCCACATTGCATTACTTACTGTCGGGGAAAGAAGTACATTTCTTGTTGGTGGTGAGCTTGAAGTCCATATGACGTGTCTTGATTGGCAATAGCAAAAGAGCACGCAAGGCAGTGACAGCATTTGACACGAGATTATTTAATACACATGCCGAGTGCTGTGGAGAGGGAGATGGTCCGGGCAGGCTGGCTGGTAGCACTTTGCTTACCATAGGATTTGGGACTGGATGAGGATCTCTTCCAGGAGGGGCAGGAAGTGAGAGGAGGGCGTGTGCCTATGTGTCCTGAAGGGACACTGTCTAATGTGCCCTACTTCTGGTGGGAGTCAAGGCAGACCACTTCACTTACATTTGGGGAAAGGAAGATGAGCCCCTCCTGATGGCAGCCACTCTCTAACCATGTTCCAAGTCCCTTATTTTTACATCCAGTTATAGAAAGTCACAGGTCCTTTCATTATAACTGCGTATGTTTACATGTGTGTCAGGTGCTGTTTCAATGACTTTAGTCTTCTCTTTCATCCTCCCAGCATCCTTTTGAAGTAGGTGCTAATATTTCTTCCATTTTACAGGTGAGAAAATAGAGGCATGGGGAGGTGAGGGTACTTATAAAAAGTCTTCCAGCTGATCCATGGCTGACCTGAGAGGCCAGTCCAGGCAGGTTGGCTCAGACTCCGTTCCTATAGCACCGTGCTCTTTGACCTCTTGCAGGAAGCTGGAGACAGGACAGACACTTCTGTCAGAAACTGCCTGCCCAGAAGGGAATGCCCAGACAAGAGAGATGACTGTATAAAACTATCAGTATTTTATTACATGCTTGTTCAGAAAATATACAATTTGTGTTTGGCAACTAGATGAGCGGTGGGTACAGCCCCCACCCACTACCACTGAGCCATATCAGACTGGTAGCAACCCTACAGGTAGGCGTCAGTAGAACTGCCACATAGGTTTTAGGCTATAAATCTTCATAGGAGCAGACAGCCTTATCTTTCTCCTATGGAGCATCTAGTCGGTTTGAACCACTGACTTGTCCTTAAGCGTTAGCTGCCCAACATTAACCCACTGTGCCACCAGAGGGAAAGAGGTAAGCTTGGAGCCAAGCTTTGAAAGAAACCCTGTTCATGAGCTAGAAGCTGGCTTCCCTGGCTTCATCAGAAGCGGTGTCAGATGTATTAGTGTTGTTGGAAGTCCTCAGGCTATTCCCAAGGCTCACCCAGCTCCATGACTGTTCAGAATCACCTGCTACTTCCCTCAGGCTGGAGTGGATAATGGGATGAGGAATCTACTGTGCCTATTACTTGACATTAAACAACCTCTTGGTTTAGTATTTGTCTTTGAGTCCTGGCCACAGTACAAGGTCACAGTGGTCACCATAAACTTGCAGAGCTTCCAAGCAGACATGGGCTTGTAATAGTTCCTTGTAATATTTCCTGCTTCTAGGTCGTCAGGCAGGTGAGGTGGGCTGTGATGATCACAACCTTTCGGGTGTCACAGGTTTCAGCGGAGACGTCAGGCCTCCTTCGTGTTCCATGCACTTGTTCTGGTACGGTTTGTAGAGTGGTTTACCCATCTTTGCATCTCCAAACACCCAGTTCATTGCAAGTGCTCAGTATTGGTAAAGTGATGCCTTTTTTTTTTTTTTTCTTTTGTAGCTTTTGTGCAAAGGAAGTCTTTTAGTCTTCCTTTCTTTAATGTGAAAATAATTGGTAAAGAAATATTATCAAATTAGTCTCAGCATTAAAAAATTTAAATGTTAGATCTTGTGACTATAAAAGGGAGGAAGAAAGAAGGAGAAAAAACAATTTTTTTTTTTGATAAAGTGTAATTTGCTACAATTTGATGAACTTGACCTATACTTACGGATGTAGTAGTTTAAATACCAACCAAGAGGGAAGGAATCTTCACAGTAAGGATCATTCCCATTCCCTCAATACACAGGATTGATAGACTTGGGCAACTTAGACATTGGCAACCTAAAATGGGGGTAGTGGTGGGGGGGGGGTGGCTAAATAGGCACGAAGTGATTGGCTTACAAGTTTTCACGAGGGAGTGAGTGGTTTTCCTCATGTCTAGTTGGGGCTGGTGAAAGGAGATGGGGATAAGACACTTAGGGTTCAATAGTGAGTAATTGTTATCATGACTAATTGTGATTGTTGCAACTGTAAAGGTAGACCTTTTGTAGCAAAAAGAGGGGCGTGGCTGATATTGCAGTACAGGAGCAGAGGACCCTGGAACCATAAAGGGAGAAGAGTGGGAGCGGAGTGTGGGACCCTATTCTCTGAATAGAGATGGAGGCAGAACTGATGATGTGGAGAAATGGGGTGGCCAGGGACTCAGGACTCATGGAGGCAGAGGGAGGGGCTGTGTGCTGGGGTGGGGGGTGGGGGGAGAACAGGCTTGCAGGGTATGCCTTTGGGTGTTTGAATGATTGCATATTCCTGAGTGTTTTGTTGTGCATCCAAAAACAAAAACCAGAGGGAATAGAAGCAAATACTGTTGAATGATAATGCATGGAGGAGATTTATCATCGCAATGAAACGAAATATGATAGGATGAGTGTAAAACTGATGTTCTCCCATGTAAACGATCACTCAATTCACAATAAAAACTTTAATTAAAAAAGAAAAAAGTCTAGTTCAACTGTCCTTAATTTGTGTTCATTAGCCCTGGGTTCAGATCATTTGGCTACTGCCATTATGTTCCAAGGACATTCCCTTTAAGGCTATTCCTCTGAAGGATTGAAGATTGAACTTTGTTTAATTGACTAATTAACATTTTAAAGGACACAAAAGGTCACAGCACTGGGGACTTTAGTTCATTTACTCAGAGTTTACAAACTATTCTTCTTCTTTTCCACTTCATTTCAGTCCGCTGTAATACCTTTGGGTCTTCCTGTCTGAGGTTACAGCTCTCTCTCCTCTTCCTTCCGCTCTACCTACCATGTGTGGGTTTGATGTGCCAATGTCTTTTTGATGTAATTTATTCAGAACCAGGTTTGTGCAAGGCCTGGCGCCAGTGGTGCCGTGAAGGTCTCCTGAGCTGTCAACCAGGGGACTTTGGATTCCAGCCAGACCCTGCTGAGGAGACTTAGGGTAGTGGAGAACTGGGAGTCCTGGAGAAATCAGTGTCTTTAAAAGAGGAGCAAAGAAAAGTGGTTTACTATCTGCCTAAAGAAACAAATACTAAAACCTCACTGCCACCCAGTCGATTCGGACACAGAGTGACCCTCTAGAACAGAGTCAGACTGCCCCACCAGGGTGTAAACTTTACTGAAGCCATGGTCTCTTCTGCAGAGTGATAGGGGTTCAGACGGCCGACTTTTCGATTCGCAGCTGAGCACCTTAACCACTTTAACCACCGTTCCACCGGGTGCAGGTGTCAGTTCCTGTTTAAGGACTACAGGTGCATCGATCTTGTTAAGTGCTATTGAGTTGCTTATGACTCATAGTGACCCTTGGGAGTTTGAACCGCCAACTGTACGATTAAAAAATTCTTACAACAGCCAGATGAGGTACATTTTGTTAAACTGAGGAAAGTAACCCGAAGTGAAGTTAAGTCACTTGTTTAAGATTGCAGCTCAGAGTTGGTATTCCTGGGATTCCAACTCAGCTGAGTTCAGAGCCTAAAGAAATGTCACTGCATATTCTGATGGGACATCTCAGTGTCTCTCTTATCCAGTGGTTCTCACTAGGGGAGTGACTTTGGCAATGTCTGTTAAATAAAATGGGGGAAGAAAAGAGAAGTGCCTTCCAATACTATTGAGAGAATTCTCTTTTTGTCTTCACAACCTGGTGGTGTAATTCTCTAGAATAACATCTGTGCCATTTACCGCATCCATGTCATGCAGTTGGTTTGATGGGATTGTTCCTAAGTCCTTAGCTCAGATATTTACTTATCGTTGAAAACTTAAAAGGACCTAGATTTGTTTCTTAAGAAATAAGTTCTACGTGTGTCACCTTATGCTTTCCTTTCCTTTTGGGAAACCTGCCTGGCTTTTGGGACCCCATGTGGAACATGTGTTTAAGATCTACCTTGCTTTGTGCCTTGATAGCTGTGGAATATTCCTATGTAATTCTGTGTAGACCAATAGTTTGATGAACATTCCTGCCATCAGTTAGTAAGTAACTGAAAATAATCAGAGATGAGGCAGGTCTATTTTCTGGCTTCTATGTGGTATTTAGAGTCCTGGTGTGGCGCTCTGGGTTAATGCATTGGACTGCAAAGTCAGTTTGAACCATGGCAGTTCAAGTTCATCAGTCACTCCTTGGAAACCCTATACAGGATTGCTATGGGTTGGAACTGACTCAACAGCACTTAACAACAAAACAACCAAATGTGGCATTGCAGGATAATGCATTGGACCACAACCTTGGTTTCAACTACAAGGTCGATGGTTTAAACCACAAGGTCAGTTGTTCAAACTCACCAGCTGCTCCTCAAAAACCCTATAAAGGATTGCTATGAGTTGTATGTAACTGACTCAATGGCATTTAGCAACAACAGTGTGGTATTTAGAACAACTTAAACCCATGATACAGGGCTTGGGTTTATTACCAAATATGTTGGTGTCTCCCTTCTGGAGATAACACCAGTACTACTTGTTGACTAGTTCACTCCAGCAAGCTATGCAGCATACTATTGCGTAGCTTGCTGGAGTGAATCATTTTTAAGTAGACCCTGGAAGTGCCCGCCATTACACCCACATTTTTGGAAAACCTCATGGTGTGTACTGTTGACGGTGCTGGCACAGAACTAATCGCAAGGTGAAGGACTTGGACTATTCCAGACACATTGGTGTGTTCTCGGCCTGTCACAAGTATGAAAATTACATCTATAACATCACACTAGAAGAAAATCATAACTATGTTCTAGCCCTGTCTTTGGTAGTAATTTCATTGGTAGAACTCTTGACTCTAGGATTAAAGGGGCACAGGGGGGAATGGTCGCCTTGGTCCCTGCCCTGGTGTCAGCTGGAATGCCAGTGCTCTGTGTGCTGACCTCGTGTCTTTTTGTTCTGTTCCTCCTCAGAAGCCCCTTGTGCTACACCCCTGATCTGCAGCTTTGGGCGGCCGGTTGACCTGGAGAAGGATGACTCCCAGAAGGTGGTGTGCAACAATGAGCACTGCCCCTCCAGCACCTGGATGCACCTGCAGTGCTTCTACGAGTGGGAGAGCAGCATCCTGGTCCAGTTCAACTGCATCGGCCGGGCACGCAGCTGGAATGAGAAGCAATGTCGCCAGAACATGTGGACAAAGAAGGGCTATGATCTGGCCTTCCGCTTCTGCTCCTGCCGCTGTGGCCAAGGCCACCTAAAGAAGGACACAGACTGGTATCAGGTGAAGAGGATGCAGGATGAGAAAAAGAAGAAATCTGGGTCAGAGAAGAACACAGGAAAGCCGCCGGGTGAGGCCGTGGAGGAAGCGAAAAAGTGCAGGCCGCAGAGCAAGCCCCAAAAGGGCCTGAGCCATGACCTCCCTCGACGGCATTCCATGGACAGGCAGAACTCCCAGGAAAAAGCTGTCAGTTCTGTGGCCTATGGTGCCCGCTCACCCTGTGCCTCCCCTGGCCAGTCCCCACCCACCGGCTACTCCATCCTCGCCCCTGCCCACTTCAGTGGACCCCGCTCCTCGAGATACCTTGGGGAGTTCCTCAAGAATGCCATACATCTTGAGCCTCACAAAAAATCCTTGGCTGGGGGCCACGTGTTCAGAAATGCCCACTTTGATTACAGTCCAGCTGGGTTGTCAGTCCACAGGGGCGGGCACTTTGATGCTCCTGTGCAGTTCCTACGGCGGCTTGACCTCTCTGAGCTGCTCAACCACATCCCGAGGCATAAATTGAACACTTTCCACGTGCGGATGGAAGACGATGCCCAAGTGGGCCAGGGCGAGGATCTGCGGAAGTTCATTCTCGCGGCCCTCAGTGCCAGCCATAGAAATGTTGTAAACTGTGCTTTGTGCCACCGAGCGCTCCCGGTGTTCGAACAGTTCCCACTGGTGGATGGAACTCTGTTCCTAAGCCCATCGAGACATGATGAGATTGAATATGATGTTCCTTGTCACCTTCAAGGTATAGGTGTCCAGTCACCTTGCCTGGGTTTTGCTTGTTTGTTAGAAACCGAAAAGCAAACAAGATGGAATGATTTTGTTCTTAATTTTAACTGATGCTGCTTCATTGTTCTAGGCGGGAGCTAGGTAACCTTTGGTGGCAGTGCTGGATTATTTTGTTTTAAATCTGATGCCAGTGTTCTAAGCGCAGTTGTTCTAGTGGGTAATTTTACATTTGTTTTGCTGTAACTTGAAGAGAGGCTTGATGGTAAATTCATTGTCACAACTGAGAGGATATTTAGAGAAAAAATTGTGTGAATTATTTCAGCTGCTGTAAAATAATTGCCTTTGTAGCTTAATGTGTCCAGGAAGCTGTGTATTCTTTTGAACCATGTGAACATGACAGAGTGGGAGGGAAAGCAGAGGTTACAGAGAGCCAACATGTTTTGAGATGGTTGTTAGGTTGGTTGGTCTGGCACACAGCGACCCCGTATATGACCGAATCTAACTGTCATTGATGTGTCTGAGCCCATTGGTGCAGTCACTGTGTCAGTCCTTCTCGTTGGGGGTCTTCCTCTTTTTCACTGACCCTTCACTTTGTTGTTGTTGTTAGGTGTCATCAAGTCAGTACTGACTCATAGCGACCTTATGCACAGCAAAACGAAATACTGCCTGATCCTGGGCCAACCTCAGTATTGTTGCCACGCTTGAGTCCATCGATGCTGCCACTTGGCCAGTCCATCTCGTTGGGGGTCTTCCTCTTTTTCTCTGACCCTCCACCTTACCAAACATGATAATCCTTCTCCAGCGACTTGTCCCTCCTGACAATATGACCCTTTACTTTAGGGAGCATGATATCCTTCTCCAGGAACTAGTCCCTTCGAATAACATGTCCAAAGTATGTGAAATGAAATCTTGTCATCCTCCTTTTTAAAGAGCATTCTGGCTATACTTCCAAGACAGATGTATTCACTCTTAAGGTATATTCATGATATATTCACTATTGTTCACCAAGACCGTAGTTCAAATGCATCAGCTCTTCTCCAGTTTTCCTTAGTTATTCATTATCAAGCTTACTCATGCTTATGAGGTGATTGAAAGTACCATGGAGTAGGTGTACCTTAGTCCTCAAAGACACTTACTTGCTTTTGAACACTTGAAGGAGGTCTTTTGTGGCAGATTTCTCCAATGCAATATGTCATTTGATTTCTTGACAGCTGTTTCCATGAGCATTGATGATGGATCTAAATCAAATGAAGCACTTGACAACTTTAATCTTTTCTCCATTTATCATGATGCTGTTTACAGTATTGTAGTTGTGAGGATTTCTGTTTTCTTTATATTGAGATATAATCCATACTGAAGTCTTTGATTTTCAAGTGTAAGTTCTTCATCTGTCAGTTCTCTTCACTTTCAGCAAGCAAGGCTGTGTTGTCTGCATGTTGCAGGGAGTTAATGAGTTTTTCTGCAACCTCAGTGCTGCGTCATTCTTAATATCGTCCAGGTTTTTAAATTATTTGTTCAGCATTCAGTTTGATTAAGTTATGGTGAGAAGCTATAGCCCTGACACATACCTTCCCTGATTCTAAACAATGATGTATCCTCTGGTTTTGTTCAATTATCTGTCTCATGGTTTATGTACAGGTTCCACATGAGCACAATTAAGTGTACTGGATTTCCCATTCTTTGTAATATTATCCATAATACGCACCCACTTTAATGTCTTTGTATAGTTAATAAAACACAAGCAAACATTTTTCTGTTATTCTCTGCTTTCAACTATGATGTCCCTTGTTCCATGTCCTGTTCGGAAACGAGCTTAAAGTTCTGACAGTTCCCTGTCAATGGAATGCTGCAGCCTTTTAACAGCCATCTTCAGCAAAATTCTACTTGCATGTAATATTAATGATATTATTCCATAGTTCTGCATTCTATTATATGGATCTTATCCAGTCGTCTGAGCAAGTAGCTGTTTTCTAAATTTCTTGGCACAAGACAGGTGAATGCTTCCAGCGTGGCTTCCTTTTGTTGAAACTTGGTATTCTGTCAGTTCCCAAAGCCTTATTTTTGACCAGTGCCTTCTTCAAGTCCAGTGCAGTTGGATTTCTTTCTTTAGTACTATTGGTTCTTGATCATACACTACTCTCTGAGATGGTTGCATATCAACTAGTTCTTTATGGTACAGTAACTGTGTATTCCTTCCATCTTTTGATGCTTCTTACATTGTGCAATGGGGAGTGCAGTAGCTTTGTAGGATAAGCGCCCCCAAAACAATTTACAGTCTCAGAAACCCTATACAGAGCCACTGTGAGTCGGAACCGACTCGATGGAACTTAACACCAACAATGTCGTTCAATATTTTCCCCCTAGAATCCTTCAATATTGCAATTCAAGGCTAGAATGTTTTTCTTCAGTTCTTTCAGATTGAGAAATGCCAAGTGTTTCTTCCAAGCTTTTTCACAAAGGTCTTTGCACATTTAATTATAATACTTAACTGTCTTCTTGGACTGCCCTTTGAATTCATTTCTTTGGATTCATTATTTCTTGCATTTGCTTTAGTTATTTATTCCATGTGGACATTGTGTACCTTCAAGGAGCTCTGGTAGTGTACGAATTGGGTCGCAAAGCTCAAGGTCAGCAGTTTGAAACTCCCAGCTGTTCCACGGGAGAAAGATGAGGCTTTCTGCTCTCGTAAAGATTTATAGCCTTGGAAACCCTGTACAGTGTCGCTATGAGTTGGAACTGACTCCACAACACATAATAACAACAACAAGGAGAAAGGGGTTAGTTTTCCAGAGCATTCAAAGGAGGCAGATTTGATAGGCGAAGGGTCTGAGTCATGTTAAGTGTTTAAGGAAAGAGAGCAGGTTGAGCAAAAGAATGTGGTCTTCAGAAAGCCCAGATTGGGATCAGGAGGAATTGGAGAAAAGTGCTTGTTTGGAGCAGAGGTTCTAGAACGGAACCTGAGGAGGATAGGCCAAAGGCATGGTGGGCGGGAGGCTTTCAAACTAGAAGAATAAGAGCTTTTGTCATGTTTCTTATGAAGTAGTGGGCTTTAAATTTTATGTATAACTTAATTTAAATTTTTTTGAAAATGTACTACACAACAGAATGCACATCCCTTCATTCATTTTTTCCTGTATAACTCAAAGGCATTGGTTCCATCATTCATTTTGTGTGACCATTCTCATTCTCTCACCATTACTGACAAACTCACTACTCCTTTCTTATATATGCTTTAGAGGTAATTTTGACAGTTTGAGCTCATGTCAATTTAATTCTCGTGACAAATGATGTTTACTAGTATAGCTAAATAGTTTTTTGGGTTTTTTTTTTTTTTTTTTCCTAGTTTAAAGGTGACTTTCGGGAATAATTTCAATTCATGGTTTAAAGGTTTTCTGAGCGTGATAAATTTAAGAATTCTTTCAGTTTCCAGAGATCCTGTAAGGCGAGACAGATTTTATAGAAATTTGAAATTCTGTTCTACAGTTACACCTCTTTTGATCAGAACTCATCTACTTAGTTCTTGCTAAAAAATTTTGGTAATGGTAGCCAGGCATCATTCCAGCTTTTCTAGTTTCATGGCTAAGAAGGGTTCCTGGATGCAGTTAGATCTAAGTCCATTTTCTTCTCCTCTTTCCTCTGCTGCTCTGGGAGACTAGAGACGAATTGTTGTGTCTTGGATGGCCACTGGCAAACTTGTACAACTTCAGGCACTACTCACTGAACTAGGGAGTGCAGCAGTAACTCTCAAAACAGTATTAAGCCAGTTGACCGACCGGGCAGTCTCAAGAAGCCAAGGCCCTGAACCTTCAAAGCAGCAGAAATAACCTCAGCAGGTGTTTGGATGTAGTTAAGTAGTATCAAACTTTAGGGTCTTTTTTTGGCGGGGAAGGGACTATTGCTGTTTTTGTAAAATTATATATGACATAGTATTTACCATTTTTTTTTTAATACAGCTAATGTGTCAGTTACACTCTTCAAATTGTGCAACATATAAACTTGTTTTTAAAGCAGAGGATCAAAGTAGCATGAAAGGGGATGGACCTTAGAGACAGAGTTGAAACTTACTGCTGCAAACTATATGTGAAGAGATGAGATTGCTGGTGGAGAGGATGGAAATTGGAAGGACAGTGTATCTACCAAAGATTTTAAGAGAAAAGCTTGGCTTTGGGGCCAGCTTTAAAGTGTTTTATTGTGAATTGTGTGATAGTTTACATGGGGGAACATTAGCTTTACATTCATCCTATTGTATATCGTTTCATTGTGATGGTTACAGTCCCTTCCATGCATCATCAACCAACCAAATGGTATATACCCTGCAAGCCTGCCCCTCGATTGTCAGCACATGGCCCCTCTCCCTCTCCGGGTCTAGAGTCCTCAGCTGTTCTATCTCTCCACCTCATCATCTCTGCCTCCATTTCTGGGTCACTGTTTCTCTAGGTAGGGTCCCGCACTCCGCTCTTCTCCCTTGATGGTCCCAGGGACCTCCACTCCTGGACTGCAAAGTCAACCACTCCCTTCTTTTTGCTACAAAACGTGTACCTTTACATTCCAACCCTCACAGGCAGTCTTGATAGCAATTATTCACTATTGTACTACAAGAGACCTATCCCCATCTCCTTTCATCAGCCCTGCCCAGACAGATTGGATACTACTCAGTGGAGATTCTACCTTCCTCCGCTTCCTCTGGATCTAGGCTCCATCTTGAACGCTTCTAAGCCAGTCTCTTCTTGACTTTGTAGCCCCTCCCCCCCATTTTGGGTAGCCAATGTACAAGTTGCCCATCCTTATCTAACCTGTGTATTGAGGGGGTGAGAATGGGCCTCACTGTAAAGATTTGTTCCCTTTTTTGAGCTACTGCATCCATAGGTGTAGGTCAAGTTCATCAGATTGTATCAGATTACTCTTTTTTCCTCTTCTTTCATCATCTAGTTGAGTTCTGATCATCCAGTCATTGAAGCCAGGTCAAGTAGGTATTATCTGCAAGTGTGGGTGTTCTTGTGCACATGCCCTCTCTTC